ATTAAATCTGGATAACATTACTGCATTTCATCTTCCATACCACATCTCTCACCTTTCCCAGCTGAAGGCTCTGTCGTACATTCTCCAGCCTCTGGGCTGAGTCAAGCAGTAAAGACTTCATGAAGTGATAAGGAGACAGATTTTGTGCAAAGCGGAGGGCAGTCACCATATAACCATCTGAGACAATGAGGTAGGGTAGACGAGGGTGACAAGTGACAGAAAACCTTTGCCGCATTAAATCAGTCTCAGATGCCACAGAACCCAGAGAATCATTGGCATTGTGGCTTTCCAGGATGGGTACAGGTGGTCTGCAAAAGATGAAAAACAAACACTAATTAGTAACCGTAAAAATGCATTCTTTTTATTGCGCTTTGTTTTTTTTAAAGCAAACCTGTAAACTATTTATATTAGTAAAGCCTCTACAGAAGGCTGATGGAATACCCAGTACACACCTTTTCATTGCAGCCTGGAGCCACCCCATCTGTGCCTGAATGCCCCCCCCCGCCCAACCAACAACATTAGGCCCAGCACCTGAATAAAGGGCAGGGAATCACTACAATTCCTATGTCTTCTGTCATTGGTCACATAAAAGAGGGGAGGAAAATGTTCTTTAACGTTTTGGAAATAATATTTCTTTTTTTCCAGGTAAATATAAAATGTATCACATGAGTAATGTTTAGTCTTATATCCAAGACAGCATGTGGAGCTCTAGGATCCTTTTAGTTGCTGTCAGAAAGGCTGCTATTTTTGCAGTGCTGTCTCTTCAGCTAACCAATAAGGAATCCTTGGTCATGTATTAAGTGTTTAGTTGTAAAACACGGACTGTGTGTATATGAAGGTATATATCTACCGCCCGAACATTCTTGCCCTTCCCCCTTCCTTCCTTGCCCCCCCTCCCCCCATCCTTAGACCAACAGAGAGTTCTCGCCACCCACCACACTACTGTTTTGCTTGCATCTCTTCAGGGACATGATCTTTACAAGAATGGTGTACCTTGAGCATAGAGTGCTGTTCTGCACTGACCTTGTTTATATTCCCTATTGTGCCATTTCATCTACTGTGTGCTTTAGGCATTTTGTTATATGTAAGCATTGCTCTGCCTTTTTTTATTTTTTGGATGAATGTTCTTCATAAGGCTTCTTGCACTATGTTGTGTAATGCTGCACTTTTGCTAAAATACCTTTAAAAAAATATTTTTGCAAGGTAATTGCCTGGGTGCTCATCCACACAAATCCAAAGTAGGTATAGAGGAACTCTCAGGTCTTGCAGTGGAAACAAGTCAAAGCATCAGAATTTTATTTCCAAATGCAATTATATACATACACACTTTTTTCTTATATTATAGGTATTTTAACAAAAGGGAGCACACTAGGGAAAAACGTGTGTGTGTGTGTGTATATATATATATATATATATAAACATTTATTATCAGAGCGGCATAAAATCCTCAATACAACACATATTTATATTTTCAAAAATTTGGGGACCTTTAGAATAAAATGACGACATTTGTAATTTATGTTGCATGATATTATATGTGCAGAACCGTTATCAGCTCTATATTTTGAGTAAAAGTCACACACAAATGCATCATCTCCAAATTTTGAGCATAAAACATGAGAGTGTGTCAATAAAATAAATGCCAAATGTGTCAAGCCTCAAAATTTGCATGAACCCGTGAAGCGGTGACATATTATGATACCCAAAATTGTCAATAGACAACCCTTTAAAAAAACATTTACAGCTCATTAATTTAGAGTGAACCAAAATGACAGACTGAGAAAAATTCCTCCTACTTCCTCATGCACAGTATGTGTGTTGCACAATCGACAGTTACCTATGCACATGTGTATGGAGGTACATGTGCATGCATCCTTTAAATGTAGTACTTATTTTATTATAGTTTCATATATAACACTTATTTTAACTTAATTTATTATTATAACAAGGGAGCTGACTATGTGACAGTAAATAGGCAGTGGAAAAAATGTATAAAAAGGATCCACAGATTTAGAATACATTTTACAAACGTCATCATTGGTGGAGCTGTCTAGAAGAAGGTAGACCGATTTATTGAAGTGGGCGAAGACAGATTGGTCCTTATTCCCCATACCTACAAAACAGTCTTCTTCTTTCACAAAAACATAGAACTTTCACTGAAGGGTAAATCAATTACCTGTATGTGATTAAAGGATGAAGAGGAATAAACTCGGCTGGTCCAAATTCAACACTACATCCAGATGTTGTCAGAGTCAAGAGCTCACCCAGTCGTGTTAATAACAACAGGGACCCCCTCTTCAAGACACAGGCCAAAAAAAGGCTGTCAGATGTCCATGACATGTTCGCTACCCAGTAAGACCTGAGAAAGCAAAGAAAGGAGGTATAATAATGTGTAAAAACCTCTACAGAAAACTTTAACAAACCTTTTTGTTTTAGTATTGAGTGGTGCAGGGAAGGGATGGAACTTCTGTCAAGTTTTAATTGCTGCATGGATCACTGGGGAGATTTTCCCTCACTTCCTGTCCCAATGACCACAATCACCTGACAAGAAGTGAAGGTAAACCTTGCCAGTGAGGACAGAGAGTACAATAGAAGGTTCTAACGCAATCAAATACTCCAACTGGCAAATGGTCTTCCATTAACATTACCCAAGGGGAAGAACATTTATTGTTTTTTTGTTCCTCCACCAAGCCCATACTGATTAGTGGAAAGACAGCCATGTGATCTCAACTAGTGATGGGCTCGGGCGTGTTCGCAGCTCCACGTGCCGAGCCCGCCAGGAAGCTGACAGCGCCAATCACAGGTACTGAGACATATCCCGATCTCTGCAGCTGCGGAAGGGATAATGTCTCAGTACATGTGATTGGCGCTGTCAATTTCCATCAGTAATCTCAACTACGAAGAGCTTGTAAACTGACATATGGACATGTACAACTGCATTGTATGGGTACATCAAAAATGATATCTACCAACCTTAGATATCTGGCTGGGATCTGCTGGTTTTTACTGCTACAGCCCTTCAAAGTGCCGCACACAGTAACAACGTTCATGGTGTTTATAAAGACGACGCAGGTTGCCTGAAAAAAGACAAAAAAATTCATAAAGTCAAAGTGGATCTCCATCATTTTTTCCCCCCAACAAAAACATTTTGCAGTATTTTATTATATTAAGAGTACCTTGGGGTCTTTCTGATTTATTGCCAAGGCTTGCACTAAGCCGTCTTTGGAGAATGCAGCCACCAGAGCTCCTCTAGACTTAACTGGCTCACAGATGGGGTAGATGGTATCCAGTGGGCAGTTCTGTTGTGCCCAATGAACATTGAACGGGCACACACTAGAAGAGATTAATTGCAATACACAGATTTACAAGGATTATGCAAAACAAGGGTAAGGCAAGTATGCTATATGCATGTCTACACAAAGCACAAAAGTAATGGGTATCCTGTCACATGCAAAGGAAGGGAAGATCCCACCAGATGGGATAGAAACAATATTAAACTCTGTTAATAAGTTGTTTGTTTGTTTTTTGTGTCTACTATGAGAGAAAACCTCCCAATGTTCAGTGAATAATATTTCAATAAAAATAAACGCACACACATAAAAGTATTAGCAAACATAAGGAAATGTTTGAGATGGCAAATTAAATATATAAAAAGAAGCAAACCTGTTGTACTTCTGATCACCCTCAAGCCAGCGCAGTGATAGGAACGTCATCATCAGCCGGGATCCAGAGTAATAGACAAATGTACACAAACAGCAATCACCCAACACCTGAGGTATAATAGAAGTAGGAGAACCACACAGTAAATCAAAGAACTACCATAATCAGCCATCTTGTTACAACAAGCATTCATTTTGTAGAACTTGGAATACCAATAGACATACTTTGTCCGATAATTGTTATCTTGATATAATTGAAATGTGTTTTGAGCCAGCGATTTACTAATTGGGCATCCTAAAGGGTCAGGCCACCCAAACGGGTATGTCAGTTATAACGGCTCCAAAACCCTCAGTCGCCCCCTGACTTTTTACAAAATGGACCGAGAGAGTTTCCCACCAAAATTCCTTGATCTGTTCCTTCCCACTGTGGAGCATAAAAATACTCTGAATAAATGTATCTTATTTGTGTATCACTCGGCTGTAGATCCTCAAATCATCTCTGAATTGGTGCTGACACTGTCCTTTCTTCTGGAGGGGGGCTACTTTTCGTACCCATGGTCTCTGTGTGTGCTGTGCAGTAGTTAATGTATATCTTGTTGCTGGAGTTTTGCTGTAACAGAAGGCACCGGCTAGTCTAATAGAAGCCAGAGCCATAGCTTACACAGGGTTATAGACTTCCAGTGTGACTGAGCTTATTGACCCATTTTGCTTGCCTGCATGTTGGATGGTGAATCAGCAGTATAAGGCTACATTCACACTAGGTGCGCTTAGATGCGTTTATATACATCTAAAATTAGGGTTGCACCAATACTACTATCAGTGCAGATACCGAGTATTTGAGTGAGTACTCATGCTCACCCAAATACTATGATACTTACCCCTGATACCGGAATTCCGGTCAGAGGGAGATTTTCTCTGCCACGAGGGAACATGGAGCTGCCTTCCCAGCCAATCAGGAAGCCAGGTGGTGGGTAATGACTCGCCATCTCCAGTCATTACCTGTACCCATTAAAGGAGAACTATGGGGTCAGTGTTTTTCCCCATAGTTCTCCTACAAAAACAGCTTGTGTTGCAATATTCACATTTTCCCCACAATACTTCTTTCCCGCCACAAGATGTCCTCAGTATGATGGTCAGCAACATTTAACCCACTTAAATTGAGCCCAGGTTGTCCTGGACCCACCCTCTGCCTGTGACTGGACAGCTAGGAGGTGCTGACCCATTTATCTCCTTTCTCCTCCTGTCAGCATGTTTCTTCTCAACGAATGACCTGATTGACTCTGCTTCTCCTCTCCCAGTCTAAGCCCTGCTGTACAGGGAATGAAGGAAGCTGATACCAGTCCAAATTCAGGTACTTACACTGCTTGCATAAAAAAAACACATAACTAAATATGTGTTAATGAATAGAGAGCCGCATTAATTGGCGTCTTATATATCTGCTTAGAGTTCAGTTTTAACTTCCGGGCAGCAGAATGGAGGAGCAGGGGGAACAAAACAAAGGTAAGTATATGCATCTGTGAAGGTCGGCATTAAAGGGAACCTGCTGTTTTGCCCACATGGCCAAAGCACATATTTACTTTACAAATTCCAACAACATACCTCGCTCTTTAAAAACATGGCGTGAACAGTCGCTTCGTTATCTGCGGTGCTTGGGAACACAACCGTGTCATGAGGTTCGATTTTAGTCCACCGGCCTGAAAGGGTCCTGGCTTTCAGAGGATTAGACCGATTCTTTTCCTCTGTGTTTTCCCACAGGTACACACAGCCAGTGTGAGTGGCCAAGAGGACTCTATTGCCATCTCCTGACACGTACAGGTAGAGCTTCAAAGAAGTTTCTAAAAATAAGCCAAACATTGCCAATTATTGGGCTTCCAACTGCACTACAGATATACTAGCAAGAGGAATTGTCTTAGCATTGTACATTTAAAGTAGCATTACACTCTCAAACTTGTTTTCAATAATAAATCCAGATCAAAACACATTTACATTACACAGCAAAATATTTATTTACATTTGTACCCAAGCACTTACAGTCGTCATGTTTCCAAACAGCTCCAACTCTCTAAGCTCTGCTTCCCTGAACTTCCTGTCCAGTACAAGAACACAAGGACAGAGAAGCTTCCAGCAGCTATACATCTACTAGCCTGGAGAAGAGGGGAGCAGGGAAAAGGGGGGAGGAGGATAGTAGATTGCCTTGATGGGCCTGTGTGCTTGTAGAGAAACACACATAGCTTACTAACAGACACAAGGGTGGCTCCATAGGATCCTGCAAGGGAAAGGAGCCCCCCTAAAACAGGATATCAGGGACAGTGCTCAGGGGACCATCTAAATCTGCAGGAAACTAAAACTCTGAAACATCATGAGGGAGCATTCATTGTAACTGATTTAATTAGCGTATCAAATAGCTTGGAAAACCTTTTTGATTTTAATATCACTTTAACGCAAACTGCCGGAAAAAACACATGAGCTGCCATTGCAGATTTGTTTTAAAAAGGCTCTTACCCTCCTTAGTGGGTAACCAACTATATCTACATTTATGCAGATCAGGAGCTCCGAGTTCACCAGAAGAATACATGTCCCATATCACTGACTCAGCGTATAGTTATGCAAAGATGAGATTTAGTGCCCTGCAGCTTGTAATCTTTACGTTGACCACACGTTACAATCTGATGGTAGATCTAAATGAGATTGTACAAACAACAGTGAAGTGCAAGGGAGGGCCTGCCTTATTGGATACAGGTGGTTTGGTTGGTTAGTTTAGGTAGGTCCTCATATTACATACATTTGGTTAAAAAAAAGTTGATTGTACAGTCAGATTGTAACATATATAGTTCGGATTGTAACATATATAGTTCGGATTGTAACATATATAGTTCGGTAGGCAAGTGTACAAAAAAAAAACAATTTTTCATTCAGCGGAGTGTAAAGCTTCATTTCTTGGGATCAGTTCACCTTGTGTAACTGAAATCAGCTGGGAGATGTCTGCAATAGCTGGAATCGTGAGCAGACAGTCCAGATCCTTACTCCATAGTGATAGCTCCCCAGAGACTTTCAGAGCAGCTAGCCAGGCTCCTGTGGGATGAGGAAAGAAGAACCATTAAAGTGTATCTAAACCCAACAACAAAAATGCAATCCATGTAGTCCTCAAAGAGCTAAAAATAATGTAACTGATAACAGTGCAGCACGGAGAGACCAGGACGTTTTCAGCCGGCAAGATTTTTGGCAGGATCAACAGGTGTTATTTTGCAGTTAATAAACAGATACAACAAATGTTTTAAATGTTAAAAAGGACCAATAAGGGCTGTTTCACACCACAAACAGTGCGTTCCAGAGAAGTCAGCCTCTAGAACACACTGTGAAGCAACCCGGCCGGCTCCGTGCGTTCAGGGGCAGGAGGGGCTGTGATATATTATTGCATTTATCTGTAAAAAATAAGTCAAGGCAACTGGACTTGCTGTATTTTTCCTGAAGATGTTTCACTGGTCATCCAACCAGCTTTCTCATTTCAGAATGACTTGTACAAAAATTCTCTGGGAATAAATATGGTGAATATGGTTATGTGGATTAGAGCAACATTCACCATATTTATTCCCAGAGATTTTTTGCACAAGTCATTCTGAATTGAGAAAGCTGGTTGGATGACCAGTGAAACGTCTTCAAGAAAAATACAGCAAGCCCAGTTTCCTTGACTTATTCTTTACAGATAAATGCAATAATATATTTTTTTTAAACTTCTGTTGATACATATACCTATTTCAGTACAGCGTATAGGTGAATATGGCAATGTATTAAGTGACCAATAAAAATGCAGATTAAAAAGGTCCCTAAACTGCACACTATCTGCGTCCAAGTGCAGGCACCCGGACTCGCACGGATGTGCAGGTTTGCATGTAACAGCGTGCAGCCACGTCCTCCTATAGGGAGGTACAGACTGATGCATGCAATTACATAAAGCACCTGTCCCTCCCAGGGGCAGGTCTCTGCATGGGCATGCATGCCGTATGGATGTGCACACCCATGTGAATGATCCCTTATACTCACCTGTCCAGCATCCTGTGTCTAGAACCTTTGTGCAGTGCAAGATTGGTGAGACTTCCAGCAGTGTTATATGCCTGTGCAACCTGCCCCTTGCATCTTTGCTGTGTTGATGATGTAATCATAAAGTGTGTCAGGAGACACAGGCATATGACACTATCGGAACTGTAGAATGCAAGAGTCTTAAGCTAGGTATACAGTTAGGACGTTCATTTGATTTTCCTATAGCTAATGGGGTCAAATCAACAATCCGTTTTATGGTAAAACATGCAATATGCAAGCCATGGTGTGCTGTGTTGCGGTACCATTCCTTCTGAATGCACCCCGATATACTATTACAGTATCAGGCAATACACCTGCGCTGCATCACAACGCACATGCCTTGTGTTGTGGTGCACTGGGCTTTAATAGACAATAAGACAATGTATAAACGCAACACTTAGCCTGAACTCCCAAAAGAAGGAAGGTCCTTTGTACCATTGGCAGATGTAGCAAGGGTCACAATGCTGCTTTTCTTAAGTAATGGCTTCTTCACACTGCCTGAGCGCAGGCTGATCTCACTGATACGATTCTCATCCACCAAGAAAACTGCTTCCTTTTCCTAAGACAGAAAAAAAAAAAATGATGATTATCACAATGGAAACCTAGTCAGCCAAATGTACATATACAGTGTACTGACCTGCCCCAACCAGCAAAGCCTCGTACATGGCTTTTTCCTCTTGATGCTGGTAGACAGCAGAACTTCCAGAGACAGTTCCATGTTTATTAGCACATGTCAGGAATCCCCCTACCGACCAGCTGGACCCATCGACCCCGGTTCCTGAGAAAATGACACAGAGAATGCACAGATTACAGCTGCACATAATAGTTCTGTCCAATAGTTTTATGCACCTGTGAAACAATGATGTAAAATGAGGATACTTTGAAAAAGAATGCAATTAATGGCTTTTAAAAGGAGAACTATGAGGCTTTTCACTCACCTCATAGTTCTAGCCGACCTAGTTCTTCCTGATTAGTAGATCGGGAAGTGAGCGAACACATACCGGCGTTGGCTCACTTCTCGATCCCGTCACGGCTCTCTGCCAGGGGAGGGGCTGGATTCCCCCTCCCCGCTCCGATCCTCCAGCGATGACTGGCGGAACGGACGGGGGAGGGGGCGGGTACAGCTGGCTCTGCCTCTAGATAGGCAGAGCCAGCTGTCACTCACGCAGCTGGGCGGATCCAGACATAGTTGTCGGGATCCGCTTCAGCTGCGGTGTCTCAGTATACAGCTCACGGTATACTGAGCCTAGGGTGACGGGAGGACGCTAGTTTGTGTCCTCCCACGGTGGGAGGAGCCTATCTCTCTAATGCTGTCCTGGAAGGTGACTAGAGAAATAAAGCTTCAATTCTCCTATATACACTGAGTGGCCAGATTATTATGATCACCTGACGTTTATAGGCAGATTAGCTATAATTTCGTGCTGAAGTTGCTTCAGGGCAAAATTATAGCAGCCAAGCCAGTCTCCAGACCTTAATACTTTAGAAAATGTATGGAGGGACCTGAAACTATGAGTTGCCAAGCAACAGCCAAGAAACCTTAAAGATTTAAAGAAGATCTGTAAAGAAGAGTGGACTAAAATCCCTCCTGAGATGTGTGCAAACCTGGTAACCAACTACAAGAAACGTCTTACCTCTGTGCTCGCCAACAAGGGTTTCTCCACCAAGTACTAAGTCATGTTTTGCTTGGGGATCAAATACTTATTTTACTCACTGAACTGCAACTCAATTTATAACATTTGTATCATGTGTTTTTTAAGGATTTTTGGTTGATATTCTGTCTCTATCATGGCTGTGGCTGCGGTGCCACTGACTTCAACGCACCACCAAACCCACTCCTGCTTCTGACTGCAGGAATCTGGCCGGGTTGCGCTCCAGTGCGTTCCAGCAGCGAATCCTGCTGGTACGCACCAACACTAAAATAAAGTACATGGGAAAAATAACAAAGTTACTTTGTATTTCTCCATTTGGTCTGTCATACATAGACACACACACACTGTATACACCGGTGTTCAATTTTAATTAGCCCCATAGAGCCACTACACATACCACATGTTCTTCTATAACAGGAAACTAAAATCACATGTGAGGGAGTGACGACGCAAACACAGGTACTTGGTAAATCTCTTTGCACAACAATCAAGTCCTTATTTTACGCTTATCAGGGAACTCTCACACAAGAACAGGTTCTACAGATCTCCTAGGCATTAAAACTGTTTGTGTTGTGTTACCACAGAAAAATTTGCAAACATATTATTAACTTTGATTTGACACATAAAGCACAGACATCCTCTGCATGACTGCTCAATGAGTAATTACACATTGTTTACAATATAAGGGCCACATGACTTCTCTGCAACCAGATTAAGGACCTGGGTGGAAGGGCTTTGATGGGAAATGCAATGTGCTTAGTTAGAGTCTTCTGGAATCATTCAGAATTCACTGAAGGATCATTTCATCTGCTTCAGCATCCCCATAGACTTGTATGGGGCAATAAGGGAGCAAACGTCCAATGACACTGGCCCTTTTGGTGCACTGCAATTATCTTCATGTTGCTGCTACATCGAAATGAATGAGTATTGTTCCTGACCTTGTCACAGCACCACAGGCTCAGAACTGAAATATAAAGACTATGTTCTGTAGGTGTAACTAGAATACTCAGCAAGGGGCAATGAATGCATTGATCCCTTTGATACTAGAGCATTGTTTGCACATATGTTGTAATCCACATTTTACTTAAATCCCCCTAGAATTATATATTTCCTGAAAGCAGAGACACAGTAGAATAAAATGGATTTATCACAACTCTTTATGAACACCAAAATGTCAGATAAAATACACTTAAATAAATTTTAGTGCACAAAAACTTAATATTATACCCAATTTATTTGTAAAATGCAAATGATGGGGTTGTGCTGTGTAATTGGATATCCAACATGCCATGCTTAAAAATTTAAAGCGCCCAGGAAACAGCAAAAAAAATCTGGTCCCATCAATTATAAAAGTCTGTGCAGGCCGTCAGTTTAGAGTTAACCATGAATATTGGTCCTAAAATGATCGCTCCTACACCACACATGGCGATACCTAACATGTGTGGTTCAATCGTCGTTTTCGTACATAGGCACACCCAACGGTAGTAAGCGCACATTCGTGGGATTTAAAAAAATAATTTGGGGGTATTTTTAAATGTATTTAAACTTTTTATTTTTACTTGACTTTATTGTTATTGCATAGCAGGGCTCACAAGCCCCCTATGTGATAGCACATTGGAGGTGACAGGTTTTTAAGGTGACCTTAGGGGTCTATTAGACTCCTAAGGTCACCTATGCACTTCAAAGAAGCTGAACAAGCAAAGAGTGTGCAATATCGCAACTTCCTGTGCACAGAATTTAGCGATCAACTTTTTAAAGTGACACTAAACTCAGGAGTTAAATCTTAAAAATGCATTCATTGTATAGATTGTAAAGCGCTGTGCAAACTGTTGGTGCTATATAAAAATCCTGTATAATAATAATAATAATTCTTCAGGTACTTTAACTATGAACAAAAATTTATCTTATTTGTGTATCACTCAGCTGTAGATCCTCCAATCATCTCTGAATTGGTGCTGACACTGTCCTTCCTTCTGGAGGGGGGCTACTTTTCTTCCCCATGGTCCGTGTGTTTTAAAGTAGTCACCGCTCCAAGCTCACTCCTGTGATAGACTACAATCTCAATACAAATTAATAAACTAATCATGACACAGGAACCATGAGGAACAAAAGTATCCCCCCTCCAGAAGAAAGGACAGTGTCAGCACCAATTCAGAGATGATTTGAGGATCTGCAGCCGAGTGATACACAAATAAGATACATTTTTGTTTATAGCTATGGTACTTGAATGCATTTTTAAGATTTAAACTTCTGAGTTTAGTGTCACTTTAAACTATTTGTATAAACTATATAACCCCTCTCCCCTATGTAATGGAGATGAGGAGGGTGAAGTGTTTGTAATCCAAATCAGGAGAGCAGCCCAGGGTGACAATGCTACTCTTTCACAGATACACTGATCACCCATAACATTATGACCCCTGGGAGGTGAAGGGAATAACATTGTTTACCTGGTTACAATGACACCTGGAAGTGGGGGGGTTTATTGGGCAGCAAGTCAACATTTTGTCCCTGAAGTTGGTGTGTTGGAAGCAGAACAAATGGACAAGTGTAAGGATTTGTACGACTTTGACAAGGGCCAAGTTGTGATGGCTAGATGACTAGGTCAGAGAAACGCCAAAACGGCAGCTCTTCTCGGGTGTTCCCAGTCTGCAGTGGTCAGGGACCTACCAAACGTGGTCCAAGGAAGGAAAACTGGAGAGCCAGTGACTGGGTCATGGGCAGCCAAGGCTCATGGAAGCATGCAGGGAGTGAAGGCTGGCCGTGCAGTCCAATCCAATAGAAGAGATACTGTAGTCCAAATTGCTGAAAAAGTGAATGCTGGTTCTGATAAAAAGGTGTCTGAACACTCAGCGCATCGCAGTTTGTTGTGTATGGGGCTGCGTAGCTGCAGACTGATCACGGTGCACCTGCTGACCCATGTCCACTGCCAAAAGCACCTGCAGTGGGCACGTGAGCATCAGAACTGGACCACAGAGCAATGGAAGAAGGTGGCCTGGTCTGATGAATCACATTTTCTTTTACATCAGGTGGATGGCTGGGTGCATGTGTGTCACTTATCTGGGGAAGAGATGGCACCAGGATGCACTATGGGAAGAAGGCAAGCCGGCAAAGCAGTGTAATGCTTTGGGCAATGTTCTGCTGGGAAACCTTTGATCCTGCCATTCATGTGGATGTTACTTTGACACGTATCACCTACCTAAATATTGTTGCTGACCAAGTACACCCCTTCATGCACACGGTATTCCCTGATGGCAGTGGCCTCTTTCAGCAGGATAATGCGTCCTGCCACGCTGCAAAAATGGTTCAAGAATGGTTTGAGGAACACAAGAAGGCGTTTGAGGTGTTGACTTGGCCTCCAATTGAACATCTGTGGGATGTGCTGGAAAAACAAGTCCGATCCATGCCCCGCCTCACAACTTACAGGACTTAAAGGATCTGCTACTGACGGCTGGTGCCAGACACCACAGCACACCTTCAGAGGGCTAGTCAGTGGAGTCCATCCCTCAACGTGTCAGGAAAAGAGGGAGCTACTCAATATTAGGTGGGTGGTCACAATGTAATGGCTGATCTGTGTATAATATGGTGAGTGAGCATTGTCACTCCAGCACAGGAAGTGTGTTACTGGCAGGATCCCCAAGATAATGGAAGTCTAAAATGGGTTAGGGCAGGGCTCGACCAATCCCAGGCTCCAGGTCGCCAATGCGACTAGAAAGTGTGTCCTGGCACCTGGGATTTTTTTGTCAGCCCGTTCACTGCCCACTTGTTCTCCGCCACTTTTTTGATTCTCTGTTGCTGCGGGTCCTCCCACACTTGTGTCATTTTTCAGCTCTCCTCCTCCCTGCTAGTCCCAGCGTGCGGTGCTGAAGAAAAGCAGGGAGGTGAGCAGAAGGTAGTTTGTGTTAGTGCTAGTTCACAAGAGGCCCAGTGCGTTGCGGCCCGGCACCAGAACACACTGGATTGCATTCTGGTTGACATGCATTTTTCTGAGCACACCGGACCTGAATGCAGACACTGATGTGCCACACGTTCCAGTGCAGGCGATCGCACATTGGCTGGAGGGCGTGGCTGCGGTG